TCACTGTGAAACTCTGAATGCTTGGTGCAACGTGTCTTTGTGTCTGCATCTGGAAACCACCTTTTTACCACTTCTCAATACCTTTGTCACTGGTTCTTTATAAAGTTCTTAGAACAAGAGGGAAATTAAATGCATTTGCGCAAGACACAAAGTTTATAAAATCTATTAACTATTATTGACAAAATCTTTGAGATAAAGCTTTGGCTTAAATGTTACAGTCTTGAGACAGAAAACAAAAACGAGGTGTTTTATGTTTCATTCTCTTCTTCTCACCTTGTACATCCTGTTGAGGTTGTGAGGCAGCTCTGTTTTGAGTAAACAACTTCTGTGGTTGGTCAAAGGCCTGGAAATGCCTCACCACAGTCTGTTTGTCACTGCAAATGCGGCATGTAGCTTTGACATGCAAAATGCAAATACAAAGGGCGTCAATCGGTTGTAAATAAATTTAAGAAACCTAACCTTCAACTTTAAGGTACACAATGCTCTTACTATATTTTATGAGAAAAATAAGCAGTCTTTGCACTAAAATTAATTCTTATAAATCCTAGTAATAAAATACTACCTTTTAAATGAAATGCACTTTCTAAATGTTCAGCCCACAATAGAAAGAGGTCGAAGCAACTTTTAAGATAACAATGAAGTGTTTGAGTCGAGATATGATGAGACTTTCACCTAATATTACCATCTAGTATCAAAATTGTAATCATTCTGAATATTACTCTACATTTTTGTATGGTTTGGATGGTAAATATTTGTTTGTCCTACATAATATATCTTTTATTCATATTTTTCAAGCAAAAAAAAAACCCAACAAGACCTATAACTTGGCAATGTTAAGTATGTTAAGAAGCTTGCTGATGTTTGTTTTTCAGTATTTTGTGTTGCATACTGGTTATACCTAGGAGGCACATTTAATTAGGTTGTCCTCCATGCATGGTCTTACTCATTTTCACCTCAGTCACCAGATACTTACATAAGTATGTATCAGCAAGTAGAGAGTATCTGAAGCAGGTCGGCGATGGGTTATGGGAATTAATATCAAGAATGAAAGGAGTAAGCCTTGTGAGTCCCATCAAGTCATACCTTATTTGAGTGGGGTGGATGTGGTTTGTTACTCCTAGCAAACACAGAAAGTTTCTTGTTACCACTCTCACAATGCCAAATTGAATGTGCCTCTGCCTTGATTGTAATTTGTTGTTGCTGTGTAATATGAGTTATGTTGTGCAACTGCCCTGCCCACTGTATTACCAACTAGCTGGCCATTATTCATAAATATATATGACATTTTCTTGATTAATACTGGTTGAATGTGTCCTATGGGTCTTAAACTTGACACGTCTAAAAAGACCCAACATTTATTAAACCTTTTTTTTTTTTTTTTGTTTAGTTTGCCTGCACAGGAAGAGAGGCACCTATGCAACCATAGTCATCTTCATTAGTTGCATATTACCTGCATTTTCTGTCATAATGAAATTAAACCAATCAGAAAGTTAGTTCTACAGTCACAAGGCAGTTTGTGTACTTGAGAGGGTACTTTACTTCCTAATATAAAAACCTATGCCTCAAACTAAACCACTACACAAATTCTTTGACTGTTGTTGGATCCTTTGCATAGATGATACAATTTTTATTGTAAAAGGGAACTTCACAGAAGTGGATACAGTGAAAATGACTTTCAAGAGGAACATCATTGCAAGAAAATTATGCCTCTATTTTATATATGGAAAACTTCAAATTTTTTTGTTTTTTTTCAGTACAGAGGCTGTTACCTATGTTTAGATCAGTATGTTAAAAATATACCTGCAACATCAAGATTGAAAAATCTGATTCTTCAGTTTCTATTTGAAATATGTAAAAAATGTAACACACATACTCTGCCAGCACCCAGCAATACTTCTGACATTCCTGACATGTCAGATGTATTGGGATCTCATGGTTTGCACATGAGGCTTCAGGTCTGATGTCCAGGTGACATGATGTCAATTCATTTCAGTTTGGTTTATTTATATAGCTCCAATTCACAACACACGTCATCTCAAGGCACGTTACAGAGACGATAAAACAAGATGATAGAGTCATGTTCACGCCCTTAAAGGTAGGGCACATTAAGGCAAATGCACACACAGAAGTCCCTACTTCCTCTGCACAGGAGGCTATATATAATACGATGACAGTTACTGATCTGATCAATGATAGGTTGGCTCCAGTAACTGAGCTGCTGGAGCTAGAAATTGAGAGGGGGAGTATCTACCTGTGTTAGCTTGGAAAGGCTGATGACTAGCATGCCTTGGTTTGTCACCAAGTTTAATATAGATTTATGAAGATGAAGTTGGTTTACAATAGCAGCTATTCAATCTAGGAAACGCGTAAAGGTCATCATTAGGTTGAGCCAAACGTATTCGAAATGTGCAGGGTCATCTTTCGGCAAACCATTTCACTTTTCTGTCACCAGTTCATTGCAGTTCCCCCAGCAGTCCGACCTTTCTCTTTTTCTCATCATCTCCTTCTTCCCCATCGCCTGGCTTGCCACAGGTTTGCCTGCTTGTCTAAAAGTAGCTAACAGCATCAGCCCTGACTGACAGCTCATTGGCTACTTTGTATCACATGTAGCCTGGACCTGGGCTTTCTGGAGGGCTTTACCATTCAAACAGGAGAAGCGGCAGAAGTGAAATTAAGCACTGCCATCTGACAACATGCAGTAATTTATAAATGTTTTAAATCAGGTTGGGTCCGGATTAGCCAGCAGGCGGGTCCGGATCCGGACTGTGGTCCGCTAATCCTAAACTAACAGGGGAATGGATTAAACACAATTTTGTTGTTGTTAAACCTATTTTCATTTCCTAAATTTTTAAATATAATTCCAATATATCCATATAATGCTAGAACTTTTATAGCTCAATACGAACGCTGCTATAATTGTTAATATTATTCTATAGTATTGACACTTAAAGATACGGATATAAAGAAAACTGAAAATATGCTATATACTGTTTCTTTGTTGATTATGGTTCTCTACAATGAAATACAGCCTAGTTAAAAGGAATAATAAAAAACACCCCCCTTACAAAAAACAAAGAAGGGTAATCTCTCCTCACAGATCATAGTTTTAATGCACGGAGGGGGGACATACTGTACAGTTTGTTGTTGTTACCAACTGGGATTAAAGAAACTTCCGACAGCGAGGTAAAAAGGTATTGTCTGCCCCTTTACTGAACTTTTACAAGTGAGAAAGGGTTTCCACATATCGTAAACTAGATTCAAAGACTGTACTTTTACTGTAGAATTATATAATCTATACTTGAAAAGTCTAAGTACCTAAGTTTTTAACTGGCAGGTTCGGAAGCAAAAAAAGCATTAAAATAGTACTTTACACTGATGAAATGAAGGTTTGGCAAATTACAAATTGAATTTCTCCAAGTAGTCGAAGTATTATGACCCAGGTGGTAAGTATAAGTATTGTAATTTATTAACTAGAGCACAAAAATGGTGAAATAGCCCTATGGAGACATCTGGGGAAACCAAACACGAGGAGCCAGAGAGAGACGAGGTAGGTGGACAACAGCATGGGAAGACAGCAAAGACAAGGAACCGACAAGGAGTGACAGAAGAGGGAGAGCATAAATAGCTGACTGAGATAAAGGCAGGGTTAACGAGATGACAAGGAGCAGGTCTGAGAGGAGACAACGAGGGAGCCAAGGGGAAGGAACACACACAAGAGGGCAACAAAGGAAAACAACAGAAAAACCTGAGAACATAAATCTAGAAACTACGACAAAACAGGAAATAAACCAATAAAACTAGAAAACAAGGAGCAATGTAAAGCACAACAGAACCAAGATCATGACAGGGGTTAGGGTGGAAGAGACAAGAGTTAAACACAAAAATAACAAATAATATACTTGAAGAACACAGCAATAGTTCAGAAACACATGGTATGTAAACAGAGTGAGGTACTGGCGTATAAAACTGTGCACTGTGCTCAGTGCAAATTGTAGATCAATCTATAACACACAGAGACACTTATGTCTGAAGTGTTTTCGCTTCAAGATCCAGAAATACAGACAAACCATTGGTTACAAGTCAAGCGTTTTCTCAGCTGGCTCTCTTTACACACATGATTTTTGCTACACTTCTGCCGTGTGAAATCTGCAAATGCGTAGAGAGGATTTGTATGTGTAATATCTGGATTTGCTGCCCTTAGCGCAGGTTCACAGGCAGCCTTTTCTTTCTTTTTTTTTTCTGACTATTTTACCGTTTTATGAATGGAGGGAAATGTTGTGTGTAGACTGCTATTATGATAAAAAGAGCATGTGAGCATGCTGTGCACAGAAACAACCATTCGCTTGTGGGAGCATGTATAAATGAGGAGCAGAGTGCACCACTTTTAAAGATTTTTACAAAGTGTTTTTGTAATGTTTTTTGTTGTTGGTTTTTATATGAATAAACTGGTGTGATAATTTAGTATAGATTTTTTTGGTTGTAGGTATATGTCTATTTTGAATTTATAGCCCCCCCCCCCCCCCCCCCCCCCTAAGAAAACTCCACCAGCCGCCACTGATTAGAAAAGCTCAGCAAATGGTTGTCTTTAAATCCATTCAAAAATTAATTGCATGAGTCTAACGTAGCTATCGTGCATCTTAAAATATGCACAGCTAGTAGAAATATGTACTAACAGCTTTACCACTGTTCCAATATTGGCTCTTAACAGTGTTAACCTAGAGAGGCTGCATATGCTGTAAATTATACTGTACAAATGTTCTTTTTTATTTTTGACACCTTCCACTTGGTAATTAAACATCTCCTCTATGACAATGATAAAAAAAATCCTGGGAAGTCACTGAAGTGTTTTAACAAAAAAGTAAAAAAAAAAAAAAAAGGTTCATGGTGTCTTAACAGTTTTGCGAGGAACTGTAGGCGGATTTTCATTTACCTTTCAACCAATCACCTTGTCTTCTTGTTGCAAAGCCTGATCATCTTGAGACCAAATGTTCCATTGGGTAGAAAGACTCAAGTAGTATGGAACAAGACTTGTTCACCACCAAGATAAGAGCACTGGTGGGCTCGATTCTTTTCATTACTTGGTGTAAGTACACTCTATTTCTACTGAGACAATTACTTGCAGAAATATAACATATTTGTTTAGGTTTTTGTTTTCTACTGTTAGATAATATGTTTCCTTATTTTTTAGATCTTCATAAGACTGAAGGGTTTCCTCGTTTGATCTCTACAACTGAGCGTAAACCTGGTGATAATGTCACCTTCTCTTGTCAGTCGTCGAAGGACCACAGGTTCACTCAGTGGTATAAACTTCTCCTGGAATGATGGTCCAAACAATGGCTTCAGCAGTTTATGATAGAGTCAATCCGACTGAGCCTTTTGATAACACACGTTTTCATTTTCTCAGAAAAAATGATAAGTTATCTCTAACCATCTCTGCAATTACCAAAGAAGATGAAGCCACATACTTTTGTCAAAGTGGAACCGAATTTGTACAAACGTTTATTAAAGGATTCCTCTTGGTTGTAAATGGTAAGACAAAAACTGTAAATGTTATTGTCCTTAAGAACAATCGTTCATTAAGCTATTTTTTTTCTTAAATACAGTAATAAAATGGATTGGTTTATCATAAAATATTTATTTTTCTTGCACAGACTGTAATCAACAGGAAACTGTTTATGTGGAACAAAATCCAGACAATGCATCGGCAAAACCCGGAGACACCTTGATTCTCCAGTGCTCTCTTTTTTCCATGGGTAATGAAACAAGACCCCAGTGTCCAAAAAATAACTTTGTTCACTGGTTCAAAGCTGAATCAGGAAGCTCTCATCCAAGTATCCTTTACACTGCAAGTAACAGCACTGATTATGCAGAGAAGAGAAGTTGTGTCTATCACCTCTCAAAAACACTTAAAGACTCTTTGGATTTTGGAACTTACTACTGTGCTGTGGCTCTCTGTGGAGAAATACTGTTAGGTGGTGGAAGTACACTGGAAAAAAGTATGTATTCACAGTCTACCCTTAAATCTTTACTCATTTTAAAGCACACAGAATGGTTTTCATTCACAGAAATTACTTTGTCAGCATCAACTACTATATATATATATATATATATATATATATATATATATATATATATATATATATATATATATATATATATATATATATATATATATATATATATATATATATATATATATATATATATACTTACTTATAAAGGATGCTGATTTGATCCGAATTTTTTTTAACAGAGCCAGACTTGCCTGTGCTTTTACTTGGAGGACTGTTGCTTTGCTGTGTTACAGTGATGGTCTGCCTTATCATCTACATACTTTGGAGGAGAGTTTCTGAAAAGTCAACAGGTTGGCAATTTGTTTTTTTTGTAAATACCAAAGCTAGTGAATAACACATAATTATGGAACCCAGATCTCAACAGAGAGCCTTAAAGATTTCTGTCATATAAATAGTAATATTTATTCACTGAACTAGTAGGCAGGCATTTTTTTAAATAAAAAAAACATAGTTTTTTTGGGAAGGGGTAAAGAAAGGCTATAACTTTTAACTACAAGCCACACACAAACTGTAATTTTCAAGTTTAGCCCCTTTTAAGGCCATATGTAATACTACTCTTTCATAAAATTCAACAGTTTCCCTCCCATTTTTGGAATGCAGACCACCAGCATAAAGTCATGAATTTACTTTTACAGATAAGGCCACATTCTGTTCAGGTGTGTAACATCTTTTTTGCTGGATAACAACAGTTACTAGCTATGTTAGGTACCTGTTGGATAAGTTCAAACTGCTTTAAAGCCATGCTGTGGGTTACATGACTTATTCAGCAGTGGTTCTGACCCTCTCAGATTAAAAGCCAAGTTTTTGAGTATGGTAGTCTGCGCGGAGCATCAATACATCCTGCATCAGTAAGGATGTATATTGACCCGAAAAATAATTTTATACATTTTTAAAAATCTAGCACTTAGGTCAAAATGTACACAATCTCGCTTCAAATATTCAAATTCAATTCGATATTGAAGAATGACATCAAACTCCTTTTATTTACATTTTCATCAAGTGATTAACACTAATAAACCAGTGAGATTGTTGAAACCAAGCTATATATAAATAATTTTTAATAAATGATCAGAGATGGGAAGTAACGAAGTACAAATACTTTGTTACTGTACTCAAGTAGATTTTTCTGATATTTTTACTTTACTTTACTACTTATTTTTATGGCGACTTTTTACTTCTACTCCTTACATTTTTAAAAATTGGCTCGTTACTTTAGTTTTGAATCATTTCAATGGAGTTACCGTTGTTATTATTTTTCACGTCATCAATACCAAATTCAATCTAATTGGATGGGAATCTACGTTGCATTTGACGCACCACTACAAGATGAATCGACAGATTCAGCGGTATTTATTCGCAGCAAATCATTGCAGCTTGGTGGCGGTGGCGTTAGCATAGTAGTATGGACGACGAGATGATTGAAAATGAACACAACGGAGATCTAGTCCTATTGGCAGACATCCATTTAAAATGTAGGCAACGACATGAAAAAAGTGGTTTCTACTTTTACTTTTATACTTTAAGTAAATTTACAAGCCTGTACTTTGTTACTTTTATTTGAGTAAGGAAGTTTAATCAGTACTTCCACTTTTACCAGAGTGTTTTTTAACACAAGTATCTGTACTTTTACTCAAGTACGGAAAGTGAGTACTTTTGCCATCTCTGTAAATGATATATACATCATGTCAGAAAACTATTTATTTATATAAACATGCTCCTTGAGAATCAAAGATAGACGACAGTAAGATAGACCTTATGTAGAGGTTAAATGCTCCAACTTTAGTCCAGTTCAGTTTAAATATCCAAATATTGTTTAAAAATTATCCTCTCATGTTGCCTAACATGATCTCTCTCTTGTGTGCAGTATATTTATGTATATCCCTGTCTGTTTATTTGAACAGCTGTTTGTTGTATATATTAGTTTTGTTTTAAGTTTTCAGAAACAAGAAATATTTATTGTATATCCTTTTCATCAACAGGGAAAAATGCCTCACCTAATGCCAGTAATGGCGGCTCAACTCCGGATAATTCAAAAGACTTGGTAAATATGATTTAAAAATAAATTTAACATGGTTTCTCTTTGTATCCCTAAGCAATTTTTTTAATATTTAAATGCTTTTTAGTGTCTTATTTCCAAGAATTCAATTGTCAACTTAAAATGTGATGAGCTGCTCACTACACTCAAATGCAAGAGGTTGGACAGTTTATTATAAATGTGGATGCTTCAATGAGTTTTTGATGATTTATGTTCTCCAGGAAAGATGTAAGAATGTGATTTTTATATCTGAGAGTAAAATCTATTGATTGTTGATTAGCCACACAACACATTACCTGACAAATTGAGCCAGTAAATATCTTCCTAAAATCTAAGAGTAAAAGTGGATGTAAAAAAGTCAGTTCAAAAATTAATATTAATGTCAAGGAGATTCATCATGAAAATGCTCAGTGGACAAGCACTTTGAAATATTGCTGTACCTTCAAAAAGTTACTTAACTGATTTCGACTATGCAGCCCTTATCAGTCATTAATAATTATAATGTTTTCTTTATAGGATAAAGAAGATGCAAACTATGCAGCAGTACTGGAATTCTCTGCAACAAACAAGAGACAGAGGAAGACAAAGAAAGAGTACACAGAATGTGTGTATTCTATTGTTAGAGCAGATTCTTGAAAAGAGCAGCAGCTCTAGTTACATTCTCAGTGTTTTAATGATACAGAAATTTCAGGGCCAGGAGATGTTCAGAAGTTCTACTCTTCCTGGTTAATGTTAAATTCTACACGAATTATGGTACAGTTCTTTACTGTTTTAATTGTGTTTATCTACATTAGCTGAAGGTGACCTTTCTGCAAAAATTGTAAAGCTTTTAATCACTTTTTAATCATTTGTTCTATGTTAAAGAACAAAACAGTTGAAAAAAATCTTAAATAAGGAGTTCAGGCCTCTGAGGAAAAAAAAAAGTAATTGGAGGACTGTTGCTTTGACTGTTGTTTTTAAAGTTAATAAATGCCTTGATATGCCAACATCTTTTATGTATTAATTTCTGTATTTTTTTTTTTTTCAATTATTATTTGAAGCTAAAAATCCAACTTCCTCATCATCCTATTAAGGGGTTGTCATATGAGGGAAGCTTGATAGATTTATCAAATTTATGATTGTTGCGCAGGGAATAAAAAAAAAAAAGACATAATCACAGTGATATATTTAATTTAATCTTTCTAAATCTAACTTGACATTATCAATAATGATGTGCAAATAAAAGTTTCATTATCCAGTACACTACAAATGCTGCTTGTAGTGCAGTCAACTATGCTTAGAAAAACAAGGTACTATTTTAAAATAGTGCTTGAATGGACGATCCAAACTGAAAGAATGAAAAAAAATATATATATATATATATATATATATATATATATATGTCACTTTATATTCTTTATACTTTTTCCTCATCTCTCTCTTTTACCTGATGCTTTTCCACTCTCCTTTTTTCGCTGAGGGAGCAGCACTGTTGTAAAATGTAAAAAGTACAAAAAAAGAGGAGGAAGAAATGCAAAGGGTAAAAGAATGAGAGGAGACAAGGAAATGTTAAATAACTAAGGCATGTATATGGAAAAGGAGACCTTGATGAAAAACACTGGTATAAGGGAAAGGAAAAACCAAATATATTCATTAAATATATTTCTGCTTTTATTTTTTATTATGTCAATTTCAGTCCTCCAAATTAATGAAGATAAAGAGAAAAAAATGAAAACTCAGGCACAACGGGAAAATGTGTATCTTTACTTTTGCTAGGTTGTTAAAATATCTGGTGTTTAATTAGGTTATATGTTAATAATAAATAATTATATATAATAGCTACGTTTGGGAGTAATCTGCCAATTGCCAGATTATAGCATGAATATACCGAAAGTATTTTTGTTATTATCAAAACAGTTACTCAGTTAACATGCAATGTATATAATGGTCTTTACCACAGGTAAAGAAACAGCATGTTATCTCAGCACCATCTTGAGATGTAAAGTAGACATGTGCCTGTATATTAAAAGGATATTTTATCTGTTGGTAAATGGTCAATTCCTAATAAACATTTACATAATACGTGAAAACTTGAAGTACACACATTAGAACAATGGTGAAAAACAAATGCAAAAAGATTACCCAACACCGAATGAAAACTGCCTCTTTGCTCAGGAAACAAAATAAATAGATTCAAGGAGCACCTTTTTGAGGATGTAAAACCCACAAAACCTTTCTGAGATTTGGGTAATGTAACTCTGACACCATCTATCTTAAAAAGAACAAGATGAGGTGGTCAGTTCTTACACAAAAGACCAAAGCACACAAATCCCTCTATTAAGTAAGAATAAACACACACGCACACAAAAAAAAAAAAAAAATATATATATATATATATATATATATATATATATATATAGTGTTTATAGCAGCAATACGATTTTCGAAAAAATGGACCTGAGAAAAGTGTAAAACAATAACATAATAGTGGAGATTTAAAAAAATACACAGATAAAATACTGTACTGTAATGTAAACTATAAAACTTCTTACTGACCCACCGTTGGCAGTCTCTCTCGGATCTTGAGGGTCCTGCACAGTATCTTTGCTGCTGTTAGAGCTGCACTTTTCTGGACCAAGATGTCCTATGTATTTCCAGGGATCTGCTGTAGCCACTCCTCCAGTTTGGGGGTCACTGTCCTGAGTGCCCTAACGATCACGGGTACCAATGATGACTTGACCCTCCAGGTCTTCTCTAGCTCTTCTCTGAATCCCTGGTATTTCTCTAGTTTCTCATGTCCATTTTCCTGATGTTGCAGTCAATTGGTATTACTACAGTATGTCTACCAAAACGGCTTTTCTCTGGTCTTTGTATACCACCACAATGTCCAGTTGTTTCGTCATTTGGTCCGTCAGTATCTAGACATCCCACAGGATCTTGCCTCGGTCATTCTATACTACCTTTGGAGGAGTTTTCCACTTAGACCTTGGGGTTTTCAGCCCATAGTCTGCACAGATGTTGCTGTACTATATGCCAGCGACTTGGTTATGGCGCTCCTTGTAAGTGTCCCCTGCAAGCATCTTACACCTTGCAGTTATGTGCTAGATTGTCTCTGGGGCCTCTTTGCACAGTCTACACCTGGGGTCTTGTCTGGTGTTGTAGATCTGGGCCTCTATAGCTCTGGTGCTCATGGCCTGCTCCTATGCAGCCATGATGCCTCTGGGCTTTCCTTCAATGGCTCTGTCTAGCCTTTAGTAGTATTTCCTGATATCTGCCACTTCAGTTTTGTTTCGGTGGTACCTGCCATGTAAGGGCTTGTCCTCCAATGACGGAACCGCCAGCACCTCATCTTCTGTTCCCTGTTGTCGGAGATATTCACTGAGTACGTCATCTGGTGAAGCCTTGTCCTTAATGTACTTATAGATCTTGGATGTTTCATCCTAGAAAGAGGCTCTCACACTCACTAGTCCTCTGCCTCCTTCCTTATGGCTAGCATATACACTGCAAAAACTTTCTGAAAATTTGTAAAAATGTCTTTAAACAAGTGTATTTACCTTAAATTTGAGTAGGAAAATAAGATGATCTGCCAATGGTATGAGCATTTTTACCCTTAAAATAAGATAAATTTGATATTATGCACTTGAAGTAAGAGACTATAGTCTTTTTTTCTTATTTTAAATGTAAATTGTCTTATTCCACTGGCAAAGAGTCTTAATTACCTGCTCAATTCAAGAAGAAATGCACTTGTTTTAAGAAAAATGTACTTACTTAGATTTACATTTTTTGCAGTGCAGCCCCAGGGTACTGGATTTGGGTTGGAACCCTCCAAGCATGGTTTGGAGCCCTCATGTCTTAACATCTGTGGTGTGTGTCTCATCCTTTGGCCAGCTTATTATTCCTGCAGGGTTTATGAATACTGGTAGAGCATAGCTATTTATTGCTAAGGACTTCTTCTTGCCATTAAGCTGCCTTCTTAGAACCTGACTTACTCGTTGGAGGTATCTGGCTTTAGCTGCTTTCCTTGTCATCTCATTGAGGTTTTCTTCTGGGATTTTGAGAAACGTGTAACTCTCCTCAATGTCTGCTGTTGGTACTTCTGGGAGAGAGACCCTTTGTGTGTGGATTAACTTCCCTCTCTTAGTCACCATCTGACCACACTTCTCTAGTCTGAATGACATCCCGATTTCTGTGCTATGGTGGTATGGATCAGTGAGTCGATGTCTCGCTCCTTATTAGCATACAGCTCAGTGATAAGGTGCAACCAGCCGGTTAACCCATCTGGCTTAATTATCTCTCATGTACTCCCTTGTGGCTGGCCTAAAGGAGTACACGGCACAAGCAATTTGGCAGTTTCCAATGCTTCAGGCATGGGCATATGAGAAGTGCTTGAAGTCGTAGCCTTAAATGGAATTCATGGGCCAACAATTATGTGTCATTTCAGAAGGTTAATGATTCTAAAAAGGAGGACAACCACAGACATGAGAAATCAATAAAACCCGTTTTTATTTGGAAAAATGTGAATGGACTGGAGTTGGAAGTCAGCGGACTGGATCGCCCCTGTTCTGCAGAAAAAACGAGGATTCAAGTCAAAATCAAATAGGAGCCAATCAGTAAAGGTGAGAAGCAGGTGACTTACACAGTATTTGTTTGTTTGTTTTACATCAGGAAAGGTGACACACAGGGTTTTCAGAAAGAAGCAGGCGCTGTAAGTTCACACAGATCATTCCTTGCTTGGTTCGAACAATGTTGGAGGGTTGACAGGCAGGTGTGGCTCAGGCACGAGAGCAGAGAATGCCTGGCAACTGAGGATTTCCTTGTTCCAGGAGTCTTTGGCTTGGAGATTCTTGAATCTGGACCTTGACTACTAGGAGAGAGAGAAAGATAAACAGAGTAAGAAATATGCTCAGAAAATAACTGGTAAATTCAGCTAGGAATGAGTCAGGTACCACACTGGGAGCTATAAAGAACTGACGCTCTCCTCCTTGTTGCTCCTTATGAAGACCCCATAATTAGTGGAAATGAAGAACACCTGCCCGCCACACCCTGCAGAGAGTAAGAGAGAAGGACCCATGCTAACAGAACCTGCACTTAAAACCATAAGTATGACATTATGTAGATATTATTATATGAATTATCAGATTAATGAGATTCATTTGCGCAGCTATCTGGTGTTCGGAACATTTGCTTAATCTAATGTGGCATAATCACATTAGCCCATGGTAGGATGATTAAGATAAAGTTACAAAAGTATGAAAATGTTGAATGAGGCCCATTGTTTCTAGAGTATGTGTACAAGAAAATTTCTCAGTGAAAAAAAAAAAGCGTTAAAATATCAAAATTTTTTTGAATTCTTTTTCTGCATTTTGTAGTATTTCTCCCATAGAGCATTAAAAGTACATTTAATGCAGAGGTTGTAATTAGTATAAATCTCTAGATTTTTTGAGGAGTTTTAAATAAGTTGTATATTAACAATAACTTTAAAATTATCTAAATGTTGTGCACATTCTGCAGTTTCTGAGACCATTTTATTTTAGGGTTCTGCAAAACTGGTTCCCAGCAATCAATCCGATCTATATCTTGTGAGATGATGAGATAGGCATGGTCGAGTGCTTGCCCAGTAAACATTTCATTAACCTGAAGACTAGTGTTAAGACTTTTAACTTGAGGTGGCATAGAAAGTGCTGCATGTATGAGACTTTCTGGTATTACAAAACCAAAGCAATCTCTGTGTCCACACTCTGTTTCCACAATGTTTGGTTGTTTCAAGCATGAGTTAGTCTCTGTCAAAGCCTTGTAATGTCACTCATACTATTTATGGTATAAAATATCTAGTTTGTAAAATTTTGCAATGCACCATTGCTTTTTGAAGATATTGAGGTTCATTTGGAGTCCTCAGGCCATGACATCATTTGCATTGTAGTAGTCTGCCAGCAAGGTTAAAGGCTAAAGAAGACAGTCAGCATATGTTTAATCTAAAAAAGAAAAAAAATATCCAGTTCAAATTGGAGTTTTTGACCACTGGTTGACATTAATTTAATGGAAACTAGAAACAGGGTGATTCATATAATAGACTGATGACCTAAGTAGTGCTTGGTTTTTGGAGCAAAAATCTTACCTTATATTAATACTGTACTAATCTCCAGTGGCTATTAGAGAGAGATTTTTAACACTCTTATTGAAATCTAGCTGTTAGAAGTAATAATGTTGTAACTCAAGTATTATAATTATAATATCATCTGATAATGCTGTAAAAAATCTCAGATCTACAGATTAAAGTAATAAAAAATGTAAGCAGACACAGGGAAAGAAAAAAAACAAAAAAACATTTAAACTTCTCAATAAGTTTACACCACTACCGATTATGACTCACATCTGACGGATTAGACATAGAAAAAAGAAATTCAAATTACAGATGTAGAATCTGTGTTTTTTTCAGTCAGCATTTTTTTTTTTCGAAAACTAGAGCACTATCTTGAGAGGAAATCTACTGCACAAGCAAAGTTAAGCTCCATTTTCAATCATAATGCTCCGTGGACAGTTTTCCTTGGTTCTTCTAAGTGCAATGTGTAAGTGCATATATTTCTTCTTATTCAGTTTTTTTTTTTTCAAAACCAGGAATGTTTAAAATTCCACTGTTTGATTGTTCTCTGAGGATATTTTGTCAGTTGATTCAAAATTTCTTTATTTTCTTTCTCCTTTAGTGGTGATTCCAACTCTTGTGTTATCTCAGACAATTCCTGTAACTGAGGTCAAACAAGGTGAAAATGTGACTCTGACTTGTAATGTCACCGGGCAAGAGAGCGGACTGTTTTACTGGTACAAGATGAAGTGTGGATATTTGATCCAAACGGTTGTCACAGGGTATTTTGAAAGTGTAAACCTTAAAGAACCATTTAAGGTCTTTAGTTTCAAATTCGAGGTCATAAAAGTGGGTAATGTGTATTCGCTCATCATACGAAACATCCAAAAGGAGGACGAAGCAATATACTTCTGTCAGGCAGGAGCAGCATACAAGATGTCATTAATTAATGCCATGAAACTGGAAGTGAGTTCGTCTCATGTGAATCAAACTCAGAAAACTTTGTTTGGCATCAAAACTACGGCCGAAACAAGTACGTATTTACATTTGTGTTAAACCATTTATTTGGAGAAACACATATTTGCATTTGTTTTCATCTAATCAATGATATAACATTATTAGACAAAGCTAAATAACATTTTTAATAATGTCTTGGAAGGAGGACAGAAGAAATATGACAATTTTTAATGTTTAGAAATTAATCTAATATGACCAAATAAAATGTTAATTCTACTTAATTTAAATAAAAGTAAGCATTAAGTTGGCAATGATCTAGGCTGAAATCTGTTATTGTAGGAAGAATAATGTCTTTTGCTAATTGACCTTATTTTTTTTACTTTCAGAAAGCAACTTGGATTCAGTTGTCATCGGACTTGGTGTGCTTTGTGCTCTATGTGTGATTGTCATCGCTATCCTTGTGTTTTTGAGAGACTGATGATAAAAATGATCTGCAATATTGTGACATTTCATTAATGTCAAATAAATTCACTTATGCACCAGATCCCTACAGAACACCTTGGATATTTCTACAACTTAATGCTCTGTTATATATGCAGTTTTTCCTCAAGTGGTAAATAAAAATGGTTTAAAACATTTTTAACTTGTCGCCTCAGTGAAACACTGCAGTTCAACCCTGAAAAAAATATTTGTAGCTCTCATCCTCGTTATTTTCATGAACACAAATTATTAAGTTTTTATTAATTATAAAATATTTACAAATATCACCAATAAGTCAATGAGAATAACTTATTCTTTTTGCTAGGTGGCACTGATGGATGGAAGGTGATTCGATCCAATTCAGTTTATTTATACAGTGCCAATTCAAAACACATAACATTTCAGGATACTTTACAGAGACAAGATTTGTATCTTACCGATTCCCAAAAGTATTTGATCACCCATCTAAATTATTAGAATCACCACTTAGGCATGCATATTCCTATTTTCAATAATCTGTGAAAGAACTGGTTGCTTTCAAAAGCTCAGGGAGTTCAAGCGTGGGACTGTGATTGGGTGCCACCTGTGCAACAATAATTAAAAATAATGACATAGGTTGAAGTGCACTATATTGTTTGTAAAATTTTGCATTGCACCATTGCTTTTTGAAGATACTGAGGTTAATTTGGAGTCCTCAGGCCATGACATAATTTGCATTGGAGTACTTTGCCAGCAAGGTTAAAGTAGACATGATAACAGTCAGCATATGTTTCATCTAAAAAGGAATATATTGTAAAGTTCCAATTTGAGTTTTTGACTCTTTGGTTGACATTATTTTAATAGAAACTAGGAACAGGACAGTGCATATAATAGATTCATGACCTAAGACAGTAATGCTTGGTTTTTGGAGCTAAAATCTTACCCTATATATTCATAATGTATTAATCTCCAATGGCTATGAAAGAGAGATTTTTAACACTCTTATTGAAATCTAGCTGTTACAGGTAAAATTGTTGTAACTCAAGTATTATAATTACAATATCATCTGATAATGCTGTAAAAGATCTCAGATCTACAGATTAATGTAATAAAAAATGTAAGCAGACACAGGGAAAGAAATAATAAAAAACTCGCATCTGACTGATTAGACATAGAAAAAAGAAATTCAAAATACAGATGTAGAATCTGTGTTGTTTTCAGTCAGCATTTTTTTTTTTTTGAAAACTAGAGCACTATCTTGAGAGGAAATCTACTGCGCAAGCAAAGTTAAGCTCCATTTTCAATCATAATGCTCTGTGGACAGTTTTCCTTGGTTCTTCTAAGTGCAATGTGTAAGTGCATATATTTTTTCTTATTCAGTTTTTAATATTTTTTATTGATCTGTGTGCCAAGCCTAAACAAAAAAAGGCTGTTTTTTTTCTTTTTCCAAGCCAAAAATGTTTGAATTCCACTGTTTGATTGTTCTCTGAGGATATCTTGTCAGTTGATTCAAAATTTCTCTATTTTTTTTCTCCTTTAGTGGTGATTCCAACTCTTGTGTTTTCTCAGACAATTCCTGTAACTGAAGTCAAAGTTGGTGAAAATGTGACTCTGACTTGTAATGTCACCGGGAAAGAGAGCGGACTGTTTTACTGGTACAAGATGAAGTGTGGATATTCGATCCAAACGGTTGTAACAGGGTATTTTGAAAGTGTAAACCTTAAAGAACCATTTAAGGTCTTTAGTTTCAAATTCAAGGTCATAAAAGTGGGTAATGTGTATTCGCTCATCATACGAAACATCCAAAAGGAGGACGAAGCAATATACTTCTGTCAGGCAGGAATAGCATACAAGATGCCGTTCTTTAATGTCATAAAACTGGAAGTGAGTCAGTCTGATGTGAAACAAACTCAGAAAACTCTGTTTGGCGTCAAAACTACGACCGAAACAAGTATGTATTTACATTTATGTTAAAGCATTTATCTGAAGAACACATATTTGCACTTGTTTTCATCTAATCAATGATATAACATTATTAGACAAAGCTAAATAACTTTTTTAATAATGTCTTGGAAGGAGGACAGACGAAAAATGATAGAATTTTCAATGTTTCGAAGTTAATCTAACATGACTAAATTAAATTGAAATACTTCTTAATTTAAATAAAAGTAAGCATTAAGTTGGCAATGATGTAAATTGAAATATGTTATTGTAGGAAGAATAATGTCTTTTGCTAATTGAACTTTTTTACTTTCAGAAAACAACTTGGATTCAGTTGTCATCGGACTTGGTGTGCTTTGTGCTCTATGTGTGATTGTCATCGCTATCCTTGTGTTTTTGAGAGACTGATGATAAACATGATCTGCAATATTGTGACATTTCATTAATGTCAAATAAATTCACTTATGCACCAGATCCCTACAGACCACCTTGGATATTTCTACGACTTAATGCTCTGTTATATATGCAGTTTTTCCTCAAGTTGTAAATAAAAATTGTTTAAAACATATTTAACTTGTCACCTCAGTGAAACACTGCAGTTCAGCTCAGATAAAAATATTTGGGGCTCTCATCCTCGTTATTTTATTTTATGAACACAAATTATTACGTTTTGATTAATTATAAAATATTTACAAATATCACCAATAAGTCAATGAGAATAACCTATTCTCTGTGCTAGGTGGCACTGAGGATACTTTACAGAGACAAGATTGGTATGTTACCTATTTCCAAAAGTATATGATCACCCATCTAAATTATTGGAATTACCAGTTAGGCATGCAGATTCTTTTTTTCGTTTATCCATGAAAGAACTGGTTGCTCTTAAGACTTAAGGGAATTCAGGCGTGGCACTGTGATTGGATGCCACATGTGAGACAAATCTGAAATATGAGTCATGAAATTTTCTTGCTCCTAAATATTCCACAGTCAACTATCAGTTTTATCATAAGAAAATTGAAGTCCATGACAGCAACTTACTCATGAAGTGGTAGACCACATTAACTGAAAGGGATCAGCGGATACAGTGCAGAGACGTTCTTTGGAGAGTCAAAAAATGCTAGTCCATCTAGAAATCTGATGGACAAGTCTGAGTTTGGCGGTTGCCTGGACTACGGTATTTATCTGTATTGTGTAAAGTTGATTATGGTGTGGGGTTGTTTTTTTTTCAAGAGTTTGCTTTGCCCCTTAGTTCCTATTAGAGGAACATTAAATGCATAAAACATACTAAAACCTTTTGGACAATTCCATTTTCCAAACATTGGGCCCTTCCAATTCCAACATGACTGTAAACCAGTGAATAAAGTAAGGTCCATACATTAATGGCAAACTCTGGTGTGGATGAATTTGAATAGCCAGCACAAGGTCCTGATCTCGACCTGATAGAACCCTTTTGGGATGAATTAGAGAAGACACTGAGAGACAGGTGTCATAGAGTCTATTGTTAAAATTAACCAAAGACTTGACATGCCATGTCTTTGACTTGCCATTTCTGACCTGCAAATTGACTTGCCTTCAGTCATGTAATTGCCAAGTCACTGCAATTGTGTTCATTATAATATTATTATGAGTAAATAAATTATTTTATAATCCTTGCTTTATTTTGCATGAGTGCTCCTGACCTGCAGCATATCAGTAAACCTGGTAACCAATCTTCCATGCAAAGTACGGAGAGGAATACCTGCAACAAAGAAAACTTGAAGCTGTTTTAACTGATAAGTATGGACTGACGTCATACGGCACCCCTATGGATTGAAAATGGGATGTAACTTAAATTCATATGTGAAGTGAGGGAGGTGAACAAATACTTTTGGCAATATAGTGCACTTCAACCTATGTCATTATTTTTTTATATTTATACATAGTGATGTTATCTTTCAAATTAAAAAGATCTATTAGATGATAAGAAACAGAGGCCTTAGTAAAACATTCCAGATTATTACTATGTTGATAGCTAATTTGAATTTGAAGTGGGTTTTTTTCAAATCTTGAAAAAAAATGGACTTTTAATTTAACTGAATACTTTTGTGAAATATTCTTGTGCATTGTGTTGTGAAATTATGTGTTTCTTGTTAAATTTACATTTTTAATCACATCTCTGTATTATTGTCTCTGTGGAGAATCTGTATACAGTTAAATGTACAATTTTCTCACTGATGTTTTGACAGTTTTATATGTAATTGTGCGCTCCAAGACTTTGAAAGGGGAATGTCATGTTATCAACATATCTTGATGTGGGGTTTTGCTTTTCAAAATGTTTTACCTTACAAAGATCCAAGGAGGATTAAAGTATTTTTATTAAAATAAGTATTTGGGATTCTTTTCATCTATATATTGCAAACAACTTGTGGCTTTTTTATTTATGTGTAAGTTATGTTGTTTGCGTTTTAGGTATTCATATGAATCAATCATGTGCAAGAAATAAAAACTTTGATGTTCGGTTTGCAAATGAGCATAGAACTTAGAACTTCTCAATGCCTCTGATTTGATCTTTGATTTTTGTGGAATATGCTTTAATTGACATAAACCACTGAAAAAATGGCAATAAACTGTGCTACCAAACATCTGTTAACTACTGAACATCTGTTACCTTTCAGTGAGTTACAGAACAACTCAAATATTAACTCAAATATGCAGTTAACTTACATTAATAGCCGCTGTCAAAAGTCTTCACTTTGCAGTACATTTTTGCATTGAAAAAACTATTGAAAACAGAATCCTGAGGACACCAGGTCTAAACTGGTAGTTTTTGCTCACACACAAATGCTCTTCCTGCTCCCTGCTGCCTCTTCCCAGAGGTCAGCAGGGAGAACAGTCCATGGTGGGGGTGTGAGGGGTCACTGATGATGTTATGGGATCGGGACACACAGCGGTGGGATGAAATGTCCATAAGGGAGGGAAGAGGAGCCCCAATGATCGCTTCTGCGCCCTCTTGACCAATGAGGTGGTGTTTAGAGCCCAGGTGAGATTGTCTGTGTTGTGCACCCAGGAATTTGTAGTTGCTGACCACCTCTACAGCTGAGCTGTTGATAAGCAGTGGACCGTCGTGTCCACCTGAAGTCCATGATGATTTCTTTCGTCTTCTCAACATTCAGGTTGCGGCTGTTGTCTCTGCACCAGCCCACCAGCTGCTCCACTTCCTCTCTGTTTTCCTGGTCATTGTCGTTTCTGACGAGGCCCACAACAGAAGTGTCGTCTGCAATCTTCATGATGTGATAGGTGGTGAACCTGGCGCCGCAGTTGTGTTTCATCAGAGTTAACACCAGGGGGCCTGGGACACAGCCCTGAGGGGAGCCTGTGTTCAAGGTGATGACATCAGAGGTGTTCTGTCTGACCCGCAGTGACTGAGGTCTGTTGGTGAGGAAGTCTAGCATCCAGTTGCAAATGGGTCTGCTAAAGCCCCTTATGTTCCAGTTTTCCTATCAGATGCTGTGGGATGCTGGTGTTGAAAGCTGAACCTAAGTCCAGGAACTGCATCCGCACTTGGGTTTTCCCCTCCAGGTGTGATTTGTGTCAGGTTCAGGTTTAGGGCAGAGGACATGGTGTCCTCAGTGGAGCGGTTCTGTTGGTAGGCAAACTGGAATAGATCGAATGTTCGTTTTGCTAGAAGCTCGAATAATCTGCCAACAAGGAGGAAAAAACCCACCCTAAAGGTGCCAAGATCATGAAACCCTAGGCAGATTGATAGGTCTGCAATTAACAGTCAAAAGCTCAATGTCTGGAGAGTAGAAGCTGGTGACCGATCTAGCATTTTTACACCAGTTGTGTTGATGTAAACCCACAGCCCACAGCTGGTTTTATCTTTCATTTTGTATATAAAGTGTAAAGGTAAGTATATAAATTTTAAAATCATCATGATAATACATTTTGGAAATTATGTTACAAACATTACAATTTAATACCCTTTTTCCAAAACTGAGTTTGTTTCATTGTTTTGCTGCTTTTTAATGGTAACAGTTTATCTCTATCTTTTCCTATTTACCTTTACTTTAAAACATTCTTTATTAAAATATTGGTCCAATAATATACTTACATTTTGACTCTGTGACTTTGACATGCAGCTTGACTGCTTTTTAAAATGCAATCTTTTACTTTTACAAGGTGAATTACGGAGATATAATCATGCTGCAAGCAGCTGTTTATTTTTAGAGTGACTCTGGAAGCAGGGTTCTGCAGCTCAAGATTCAGTAATATAAAAGAGGGCTTTTTTATTGGCTCAGTATCAGAAAAAAAGCAGCAAAAAGGAAGTTCAATATGTATGTCATTTCAGTAGAATTCACATACTATCACTTGTTGATGGCACCAATGTTGCTGTGAATAGCAAAAACATCCTATTTTCCTTTCCATTTCAATTTATTTAAATAAAAAATTAATAAAATGTTCTTTTCTGTAACCACTTAAGTTGCAAGAGTAAAATGTTTGTTCACATTAAAGCAACACTTCGAACCAGGTATTACCATAATTTCAGATATATTAAACTTTTTTTTTTTTAAGGTTGATATACAGCACTTGTTGCATATTGCTACTATGTGCAGGCTTCTTCTCTCAGATCTAACCTAAGAAGGTCAGCTCTGTCACTGAAAGGTCATGTGACCCAGAGAACTGCTTTACCGCAGCCTGAGCTTCCCTTACACATAAGACAGCAGACAGCATGACACTTACCAGTTCAAGCATACAGTCCTTCTTACCTTTACTGTCACAGATGAAGTTTAAGTATATAAAAAGGAGTATCTACTGAATGGTATTCATGAAGTAAATTAACATTTTATCACATATAGCTTTTGTGCAATACAAAACAGCAAATATTAAATGACACTGTAAAAAAAAACAAAAAAAAAAAAACATAATGTTTACTATGTTGATGGCATTGGCACCATTTGCACAGTCAGTATGGAAACCCAATTTGGCTCACCTGTTGCATATCACAAATAAGGATCACCTGTAAGGAATTGCCTCCACCCATATGTTATGAATTATCAAATAAATTATCACTGTGGTGTTTTAAAAAGCCACCTGCTATTATCTCTTTATGTGTGATGTGGCAAAGATAAAGGAGCTTGCTGATGACACCACAAATTCTATTATTTGCAAGCAAAAGACCTCAATATACATCTTCAAAGACCCTGATTCAATGGTGCATTATGTTATTTAGATGTTTTTTCAAGGCATGGAACTATCAATTGGAGACTGCATATGCTATACACCAACATTTTCCAGTCTTTTTGACACCTTCCACTTGGAAATTAAGCATCTGTTTATGACAATGATAAAAAATAAAAAAAAATCATGGGAAGAAAGAACACTGAAGTGTTTTAACAAAAATGTTTTTTTTAAAAGTTCATGGGGTCTGAACAGTTTTGTGAGGAACTGTAGGCGGATTTTCATTTACCCTTTCAACCAATCACCTTGTCTTCTTGTTGCAAAGCCTGATAATCTTGAGAGCAAATGTTCCATTGGTTAGAAAGACTTAAGTAGTACAGAACAAGACTTTTTCACAACCAAGATGCAAGCACATATGGGTTTGATTCTTTTCATTATTTTGTGTAAGTACTCTTTATTTATATTGAGACAATTACTTGCAGAAATATAACATTTTTGTTTAGCTTTTTGTTTTCAACTGTATGAGAATATTTTGTCTTTTTCTTAAGATCTTCATAAGACTGAAGGTTTTCCTCCTTTGATCTCTACAACTGACCGTAAAGCTGGTGATAATGTCACCTTCTCTTGTCAATCACCGAAGGACCACAGGTTCACTCAGTGGTATAAACAGTCTCCTGGAATGATGGTCCAAACGATGGCTGCAGGAGTTTTTGATAGTGTTACTCAGGCTGAGCCTTTTGATAACACACGTTTTTATTTTCTCCGAGAAAATGATAAGTTATCTCTAACCATTTCTGCAATTACCAAAGAAGATGAAGCCACATACTTCTGTCAAAGTGGAACCGAATTTGTACAAACATTTATTAAAGGATTCCTCTTAGTTGTAAATGGTAAGACAAACCCTCTCAATGTTATTGTCCTTAATAATAATCGTTCATCATGCTAAGTTTTTTTTTATCACAGTAATTAAATGGATTGGTTCGTCATAACACATTTATTCTTCTTTCACAGACTATAAATATCAGAAAACTGTTTATGTGGAGCAAAATCCAGACACTGCATCAACCAAACCCAGAGACACCTTGATTCTCCAGTGCTCTCTTTTTTCCACGAGTAATGAAACAAGACCTCAGTATCCAAAAAATAACTTGGTTCACTGGTTCAAAGCTGAATCAGGAAGCTCTCATCCAAGTATTATTTACACTGCAAGTAAAAGCACTGATTATGCAGGGAAGAGAAGTTGCGTCTATCACCTCTCAAAAACATTGGAGGACTCTTTGGATTTCGGAACTTACTACTGTGCTGTGGTTCTTTGTGGAGAAATACTGTTAGGTGGTGGAAGTACACTGGAAAAAAGTATGTATTCACAGTCTACCCTTTAATCTTTACTCATTTTATTCTTGGATATGTTCACTTTGGAAAGCACACAGGATGGTTATTATTCCCAGAAATTACTTTGTCAACATAACCATAAAAACAAAATGACAAAAATGTGATTAATTTAAAAAATGTATTAGCTTGTGTCATATTTCTTTTTTTTTTTTTTTTTTTGTACAAATAATGCTGATTAGGTCTGAATTGTCATTTATTGTTTCAAACAGAGCCAGACTTGCCTGTTCTTTTCCTTGGAGGACTGTTGCTTTGCTGTGTTACAGTGATGGTCTGCCTTATTATCTACATACTTTGGAGGAGAGTTTCTGAAAAATCATCAGGTTAGCAATTTATTTTTTGTAAATACCAAAGCTAGTGTGTGCTTTGCTGGCGGACAACAGCTACTTGCTTTGTTAGGTACCGCTTGTTAGAGGAGTTCAGACTGCCGTAAAGCAGCGCTCTGAGTCACATGACTCATTCAGTGATGGCTCTGACCATCTCAAATTAAAAGGCACGTTTTCTGAGTATGGTAATCTGCACGGTGCATTGATACACACCAAGCACTGTATAATGACCCAAAAAATCTTTTTGTAATTTCAAATGTATCTAGCATTTAAATCAAAATATAAAAAGTGTTGCTTCAAATATTCAATATTCATCATTGAAGAATGAAACCTTCCGGTGGGATTGTTGTAAACAAACTATACATATATCATATTGATAGATTCACATCATGTAACAATTTATTTATTAGAACACACTCTTCGAGAATTAAAGATAGAACACACTAAGATAGACCTTAGCTAAAGGTCAAATGCTTCAGATTTAATCCAGTTGAGTTTCAATATGGAATTTCAGTAAAAAAAAAAAATCATCTCATGGTGCTTAAATGGCTAACATTATCCCTTCCATGTGTGTATATGTATGCATATCCCTGTCTGTATATTTGGAAAGCTTTTTTTTTTTTTTTATATATATTGGCTTTGCTTTGAGTTTTTAGAAACAATAAATGTTTACATCTTTTGTATCAACAGGGAAAAATGCCTCACTTGCTAATGCTGCTAATGGTGGTTCAACTCCTGTTCATCCAAAAGACTTGGTAAATATGAATAATTTAATTTAGTTTTAGTTTTAATGTAAATGTTCAAATTCAAAACTAGAATGTGAGGAGCTGTACAGTACATTCAATTGCAAGAGTTTGGACAGTTTAATAAAAATTGGGATTCTTCTATGATTTTTTCTTAATCTATGGTCTCCAAAAAAGATGCAGGAATGCGGTTTTTAGACAGTAAAAGTTGTAAATTGTTGATTAGCTACACAACAACTAATCTGACAAACTGAGCCAGTAAGTATGTTCCTAAAACTTAGCAGTAAAAGTTTATTTTAAAAGTCAGTTCTAAACATAATATTTATGTCAAGGAGATTCATCATCAAAATGCTTAGTGGACAAGCACTGTAAAACGTTGCAGTACCTTCACCATGTTACTTATCTGATCTTGATTATACAGACCTTCTCAGTAATTATTAATTTTTTTTTTTTTGCAGGCCAGAGAAGATGCGAATTATGCAGCAGTACTGGAATTATGTGCAACAAACAGGAGACAGTGGAAGAAAATGAAAGAGAACACAGAATGTGTGTATTCTATAGTTAGAGCCGATTCACGAAAACACAGCAGCTCTAATTAGATTCTCAGAATTTTAATGATTCAGGAAAATCGGGACCAGGAAAAGTCCAGAAGTTCTACTCTTCCTGCCTCATGCTAAATTCTACAATAATTATGGTAGTTGTTTATAGTTTTAGTGGTGTTTATCTGCATTAACCAAATACCTTTTACATGGGAATATGACATTTTTCTTTCTTCATGTTGGCCGCGTTTACAAAAGGGGCTTCAAATTGGACTCCCTCTTCAGATGCCAGATAAGCTTCCGTTTTTTTCTTTTTTTGTAATTATGTCAACAACAGCAGCAGTAATAAAACTTGGTCTAAATTTATCCTACACTTGGTTGTGTATATTATTTTAAGTGAATTTAACCTTCAAAGTTTACCAAAATGTAAAGAAATGTCATTCAAACTGCACTTACTATTTACTTATACTTTTCACGACATTACTTGAGTACATCTATTTTTACAGTAATTCTTAAACTTAAGTGCAAGCCATTTCAGATACTTTAAGACTTTTACTCAAGTAACATTTCAGTCAGCGACTCAGACTTTTACCAAAGTCATATTTTGGAAAGGTACTTATACTTTTACTTGACTCCAAGATTTCAGTACTTTATACAACACTGGAAATGCAAAGGGCAAAGGAATAAGAGGAGACAAGGGAATGTATCAAAGGCTTGTATAAGGAAAAGAAAACATAAATTACATACCCTTTATTGTCCTACAATAGGGAAATTCTGATCTTTACAGCAGCAAAAAGATCATAGAAAAAAATGTTCAGACAGATGTGTACCTTAGAAAAGTGTATAAGAACAACATAATAAGGAAGAGTTAAATAACGAACAAATGAAATACTGTACTGTAAAGTGTTTTAAACAATATAAATACTGTACACCTGGAGAATAAATAACCAAAATACAACTATGGACACAGAATAAATAACCGATTGGTGGTTTAAACCTGTTTCCTGCTTTACCGAATCCTGTGTGCGCTGGAGTCTTTGAGGGAATTGAGTGGAACCATCAAGCAGTGGTTTCTCAGCTCTTCAACAGGCCACCTCCACCCAGAACACCACTCACCTGATTGTCCACCTCATCTGTCACACCTGCTGTACCTGCTGCTCCCACTTCCTCATTGGCCACAACAGTCTCCTCTGTGCCAACAAACCATTCTGCGTGCAAATGCCGTGCTCGCCGGCAAAAGAAACCCTCGGTTGTTCCTCCCGAGGATCAGCCAGATGCCACCATGGCCCTTCTGGTGTATCGGACCAACGTCACCACTGTCTCACCAGTGTGTCAGCATGACATCACCTCGGCTGCTCTGGCAAGCCAGGCTAGATGCCCACCAATGGGCTCTATGCACAGCTCCACTACTTCCTGAATTTAAGGCAGCTCCTTTGTTTCCTGTCTTTCATTACTGGACGAACTGATTAATCCAGGTGTGTCTGGCCAGTTACTTAGGTCATACACACCTGGATTAATCAGTGCATCCAATCATGAAAGACAGGAAACAAAGGAGCTGCATTAAATTCAGGAAGTAGTGGAGCTGTGCATAGAGCCTGTTCCCTGTCGTCTGTGCTACCACCTCCACCACCCTCAGCTGTCCCCATGTGTAGGATCTTCTGCCGTTATTTTGAGGACCATGTCTCCTCCAGGCAGAGCTCCTCATATCAAGGATGTGCTGCAGTGGAATTTTTTTTTTGGGGACCAGGAAGACTTATTCCCCTTTTTGTGTCATCAGTACGCCTTCCCTCCCTCTGTTGTGACCAGCGCTGGTGTCCCAATTCAATTCAATTCAGTTTATTTATATAGCCCCAAATTCACAACACATGTCATCTCAAGGCACTTTACAGTTCAACCAGATCATACAATCAAATTGATACAAAGTTTTCTATCTAAGGAAAACCAGTTGATTGCATTGACTCATTGACTCAAATACAATCCCTCACACTAAGCATGCTTGTAGCGACAGTGGAGAGGAAAACTCCCTTTTAACAGGAAGAAACCTCCAGCAGAACCAGGCTCAGTGTGAGCGGCCATCTGCCGAGGCCGACTGGGGTTCAAGGAGACAGAAGCAGAGACACAAAAAGCAACTGTAAAAGGCGGCCCCGTCCAGGAAACACACAGCCAGGCAGACGAGCTCCGAGCCAGCTCCCATGCCAGAGGACGAAGAGAGCACATCCACTTAGTCACGGTCAGAGAAACAGGACCACACTGGAAATCAGCCCGATCTCCAGCATCTATAAACAAGGGTGTTGATGGAAGCAGCACAGCTGATGTTTCTCTCCAGGATGGCGTCACAGCCAAACAGGAACAGACGAGGCAAAGCTACTCTGAGGAAAAGCAGAGAGAGCATAACGTTAGAGATTGAACTAACAGATTCTGCAGAGCAGGAGAATAGAGAGAGAATGAAGCAGAATGATGAAATGGGGGTCCCTATGTCCTCCAAAAGTCTAAACCTATAGCAGCATAACTATAGAGAAAGCTCAGGCTGCGAGGGTGTGACAGTTGCTTGTCCTCAGCCTTTGAGGTGGCTGTCCAGAAAGACCAACCACCCATCTAATCTCCAGTGTTCTATGAGGTGGTGTTCCAGGTGGTACCGCCTCCCATGTGTCCTTCAGTGTCCTGTTAGGTGACGGTGAAGATGGATCCACCGCCCATCTGTTTTCCAGTGTCAAAGCCTGCTCTGTGCCATCCATAGACCTCAGAGCCCGCTCTATGCCGTCCAGAGACCCCCATGCACGCTTTGTGCTGTTCAGAAACTCCCAAGCCTGCTCTGTGCTTTCTTGAGACCCCTGAGCAGGCTCTGTGCTGTCCAGAGACCCCTGAGCATGCCCTGTGCCATTCAGAGACTCCTGAGCCCCATTAAGTTGTGAAACAGAGCTCTGTCAGAGTTTCCCTCCGAGGCCCTTTAGTGGCCACTCCTTATCTCCAAGGCCACTCAGTGGCTGCGGTTTGTCTCGTAGGATCCTCCAGAGGTAAACATTACCATCTGTAGTGTCTCATGGTGAATCTGCTGTGCCACTTCTCCGTAGGCTTTTGTGCCACAGTTGGTGGTCCCAAAGGTTCTTGTGCCACAGTCGGCCTCCAAGGCAGCCTGTTTTCTACTCTGCCGGATCCTGTATGCCCTGCCAGCTGAGATATCCTAGTTAAGGTTGCCTAGGTCTCCATGCTTCAGTGCAACCTGTTCCTCCGTTAGCCTCAGCTGCTCGCTTGCCCTACTGGTAGTTCTCCAGTCCGCACAGCCAGTTGGTTCTGACACCGCCTACATCTCCTGGTTTTCTGCTCATCCCTGCAAACCAGCACTTTCAACCAGAATATTTCTGCCAAGACTGTGACTGTTTGGCTGCTTTATCTGCTATTATTCACCCCTTCAATAAACCGTTTAAATGTTACTCTGTGTCTGGCTGAATATTGGGCTCAAATGCAGCTCAGTGTGATATTATGACTTGCATCTGACTGATTAGACTTAGAAAAAAAGAAATCCCAACTACAGGTGTAGAATCTGTTTTTTTTTTTTTTCCTGTCAGCATTTGTTTTGAAAACTAGAGCATCTTGTCTGCACTATCTTGAAAGGAAATCTACTGTGCAAGCAAAGTTATGCTCCATTTTCAACCATGACGCTCTGTGGACAGTTTTCCTTGGTTCTTCTAAGTACAATGTGTAAGTGCAGTTATTTGTTCTCATTCTATTTTGAATAAATTGTATTGATCTGTGTGCCAAAGCTAAAAAAAAAAAAAAATACAGTATTTTTTTTTTTTTCAAAGCATTAATATTTGAATTTCACTGTTTAATTGTTATCTGATGATATCTTATCTGTTGATTAAAAATTTCTCTATTTTCTTTCTCCTTTAGGCGTGATTCAGACTCTTGTGTTTTCTCAGACAATTCATGTAACTGAAGTCAATCTTGGGGAAAATGTGACTCTGACTTGCAACGTTACTGGGCAAGAGAGCGGACTGTTTTACTGGTACAAGATGAAGTGTGGATATTCCATCCAAATGGTTGTAACAGGGTCTTTTGACAGGGTAAACCTTGAAGCAGCGTTTAAGATCTTCAGATTCAAATTCGAGGTCATAAAAGTGGGTAATGTGTATTCGCTCATCATACGAAACATCCAAAAGGAGGATGAAGCAACATACTTCTGTCAGGCAGGAGCAGCATACAAGATGTCATTAATTAATGCCATGCAGCTGGCAGTGAATCAGTCTGATGTGAAAAAATCTCAGAAGACTCTGTTTGGCAGCAAAACTACGATTCAAACAAGTACGTATGTACATTTGTGTAAAAGCATTTCTTTGAAGAAATAGATATTTGCATTTGTTTTCATCAAATCCATGATATAAAATTATTAGACAGACCTAAATACCATTTTTAATAATGTCTTGAAAGGAGGACAGAAGAAAACTGACAGAATGTTCATTGTTCTAAGTTAATCTAATATAACTAAATCAAATTTAAATTCTACCTGATATAAATACAAGGTAGCATGAAGTTGGCCACGATGTAAGTTGAAATATTTACGTTATTGGGGGTAAAAAAAATGTATTTTGCTAAATGGACTTATATTTTTTTCATCCAGGAAAAAATTTGGATTCGGTGATCATCGGACTTGGTGTGCTTTGTGCTGTATGTGTGATTGTCATCGCTTTCCTTGTATTATTGAGAGACTGAAGGTAAAAATCATGAGATTTACAATATTCTGACATTTCTTAAAAGTCAAGTAATTCCACTTATGGACTTAGATTACTACAGGACCCTTTGGACATTTCTAAAAACTTAATGCTCTGTTATATGTAACAGATATAATATAAATGTATAATAATAATATATAAATCTAAAATAATATACTGCTGTTATTTTTTTTTTTCCTTTTTGCACATTTCTGGTGTTGCTGCTATTTTTCACATATCCATGACTGTAAAAATGTCCACAGCTGTTATTGATTTTTTTTATTCTCCAGATACAGATTATTATATTTTAAAAACACTGTACAGTACAATATTCTATTTGTTTTATTTTTATTTTCCTATCTGTTATTTTTATAGTTTTCTAAGGTGCACATTGTGTCACCACTTTTATTATAACCTTTTCTGCTGTAAACACCAAAAATTCCCCAGTTTTTCCCCAAGTAGTAAATAAAAATGGTTTAAATCATTTTTAAATTGTTACCTCCATAAAACACTGCAGTTCAGCCCTAATAAAAATATTTTATCACTGAGTCTCTTTAAGTTCATAGACACAGATTATAAAGTTTTTGTCAAGGTATAAAATATTTATAAATATCACCAAAATATTAATGAGAATAATCTATTCTCTCTAGGTGGCACTGATGAACTGAAAGTGAATTCTATCCAATTCAGTTTATTTATTTAATGCCAATTCAAAACACATGTTATTTCAGGGAACTTTACGGAGACAAGATTGGTGTGTTACCCATTCCCAAAAGTATTTGATCACCCATCCAAATTATTGGAGGATAGTCCTGAGAGGCTGCAAACTTTCTACAGAGCCAGTCACTACATACCTACGAGCTACATGTAGCATTCAGATTAGCTAAAAAACAATTCTCAGATCTTAATGGAATGGGTTTCCATTGTCCAGCAGCTGTATCCAAACCATACATTACCAACTGCAAAGCAAAGAATTGGATGCAGTGGTGTAAAGCATGCTGCTAAAGGACTCCAGAGCAGTGGGGAGAAGTTTGCTGGAGAGTCAAAAGATGCTTATTTATCTGGAAATCTGATGGACAAGTCCGGGTTTGGCAGTTTCATGGAGAAAGGTACTTGTCTGTATAGTGTTAAGTAGTTCCTTTGAAAGGAATGATTCAACATACCAAAACATTTTCAACAGTTCCATGCTCCAAACTGTGCGCCCTCTTCCAACATGACTGTGCACAAAGTAAGGTCCGTACAGTAATGGAAGACTCTGGTGTGGATGAACTTGACTAGCCAGCACTGAGTCCTGGCCTCAACCTGATAGAACCCCTTAGGGATGAAATAGAGCAGAGACTGAGAGCCAGATCTTCTCATCTAACATCAGTGTCTGATCTCACAAATGCACAGGAATGGTAAAAAAATTCCCATTAAGACACTGCTTAACCCTGTTGGCAGCCTTCAGAGAAGACTTGAAGCTGTCTAACTGCAAAGGGTGGACAGACGTCATATGGAACCCCTAAGGATTGAAAATGTATCTGGATGTAACCGGAACTGCTCCCGCATATCCCTCCGGTGGAATTTTTAACTGAGCCAGACCACCTTTCCTAAGATTCAGAAGGAGCTGACTGTTTTTTTTTCCTGCGATTCAAACCAAGTTTAACCGTTTCCTAAAACCACTTGCTGCTGAGAGAGAGCTAATCAGGCCCTGGCAACCCAAATCTAACAGCAGAAGGGGCAACAGCAGGACCAAATTGCTATTTGTGGAAGGAGCCATTAGTGGCTGCTGACCCGTGACTTGCCCTGCCTTAGAGGAGCTACGATATGTGGGCTGCGGCTGCCAGCAAAAGGGAGTCATCCTGGTTACTTTGAGTTGTAAAATACCCAAAATTCCTAAATTGTTGAAGAGCTGATGTTTCAAAAGCTATAGCTAACAATTTTAATTTGTTGCATTAGTTTAACACAAAAATATTAGAAACAGACCGCATAAACTACAGAAACACACTTTATTGTCAAACAATATATTTTTTAAGAGATCTACCAAAAAGTGGCCCAATTTACCTGATGTCACCCTGCAACAATAGTTATCACATCTCTGTATTCTGTGGAGAGAATACAGTTAAGCTGTACATTTTTCTCAGTGATATTTTTACAGTTTTATATGTGATGATGAGCTCTAAATCTTCTGAATGGGAAATGTCATGTTATCAATAAATCTGGATGTGTGGTGTACTCTTCACAATGTTTTACCTGACAAAGATCTAAGTAGGAATAAACAGTTTTTATTGAAATCAAACACAGTTGTGACCAATCTATTTAAACATATCCACAAGTGTATTACATGAGGCTAGCACTTACATACAGACATGGAAAAGAATAAATTAACCTTGTTGAGCTTGAAAGATAGTTATAGAGGAACCAGTTAAGAAGAAGGAAAAACAAAAACACAGTCTGTACATAGGGGTGCTAGGTGTAATTTTCTGGACCAGTGGTTAAAATTTAAAATGGATCACTGGAAAAATCCAATAAATCCTGGACCTGAATCTCAACAACAGGTATCCGGAAAATACCATCAGCAAACAGAGTTTCATCATCTGACGATGAAATTCATAATTATAAGCCAGTAAATATGAATCCATCATCTTCACACAGACATGTTCACAAGTCATTTTTCGCAAGTCCAAGTCAAGTCTCAAGTCTTGAGAGCTCAAGTCCAAGTCAAGTCTCAAGTCTTGAGAGCTCAAGTCCAAGTCAAGTCTCAAGTCTTGAGAAGGCCTGTCGCAATAATCAATTAATCGCACAAAAAATTCTAATCACTTGATTAATTTAAAAAAGTGCAATAATTTTGTGCTTGCTTGTTTCTCTTTGTGTTTTCATCTCCGTCACTGAGACGGTATAGCTTAAAGGTCGCTATTATATCTATGGAATTATCATTATCTTGAACTGCTAAATGAAAAATACAATTAAAAAAAGCACACGCAAAAAATTTTTCCAGATAAATTTTGCATTTTCTTACAGTATTTCCTGACATTTGTGGTTACAACTTTTTCTAGTTTTAGCAGTAAATGTCTGCTCTTTTATTGAAAATGAGGACTGTGGAAAAAAAAAAACAATCACAATCCTGCCGTCCACGTACTGTTGCGTCAGTGACGTCAGTGTGTTGCACAGGGAAAAATATGATTTATGGTTTTCTTTCATTTTAATGTTAGTTTAATGCTTTGCATGTTTGGAGAGGAAGATATGATTTGTTTTTCTTTGTATTTTCTTCTTGAGCTTTGCATGTTTTGATGTTTCTTTTTTATATGATTGTTTTCCTTTATTTTAGACTTTTGAATTTTTCCTGCATGATGGGTTGTTTTGGTTTGTTTTTCCCTTGTGACAATCCATGCGCACTGGACTGAAGTAGTTGTCTGAGGAGGCGGAGTGCATTAATTGCGCTGCGTAATTGCTGCGCTCAGGTGTGAGCAAGGGCTGATTAAAGCCGACATAAAAGGAGTCTGAAGGAAAGGAGAAGGAGAACGGAATCTGCAGGAGACAGAGACGGACGCGCTGCTGGGGGAGATGCAGGCGGGATCCGTGTGCACTGATGGCCCAGTAAGGATTATTAGGGCAGAGGAGGAACCTCGCCTGTAAGTAGCGCTCCCCCTCGCTTAAAGCATAAACAGGAATATATCTTCCGACGGGGTTTTGACGCGTGGATGCTGGTGTTCTCCTTTCTTCTCTTTTTAGCTGGATCGGCCTGGAAAGGGGTGAAGCACGCCAGGGAGTGGAACAGTGCCGGAGCGCCGCAGAGTCTGTGGATCAGCCAGTGGGTGCTGCAGGCTGATCACTCGCGCACCAGAAGCAGCATAACAAGCGGAGCCCAACTTCCAGCCTCTGATTTTTAAGGAAAAACTCTTGAATTTTAGGTTTTATCAGGAGAAGAAAAGGACTGTTTTATTATGCCACTTTTGCTGTGGCTTTTTGTATAAATAAAACACTTGAACTTCAGTGCTTCACGGTTTGGGTCTTTGAGTTTTCTTCTGTGTGCGGGTAAGGCGAGCGGCGATCAGTCAAGTTAGTAAAACAAAAAACACTTGAATAAGTGTTTTTACACTGGAATAAAATATTGTTCACAAGTCGGAAATCACGAGTCTCAGTCGAGTCTGAAGTCCTTTAAATGCAAGTCTAAGTCGAGTCTGAAGTCATTAAATATGCGACTTAAGTGCGACTCGAGTACGAGTCACAAACTCGAGTCCCCATCTCTGTCTTCACATGATGATTATATTGTCCTAATGTCATGAAGCCTAATCTGCTTGCAAGCAAATTACTTGTCTAATTCAACTTAAGTATTCCGTAAAAATTCAAAAAATATCCACTGGACTTGGTTTCCAAGATTTGAAGACGTTTCGCCACCTCTCCAGGAAGCTTTCTCAATTCAAACTTAAGTATGAACATCTTAGATGGGGAACTGCATTATATATGCAGGTTGAAGATAAATAAAGCAGAACATCTGGCCAAGGTGGTAACCAAAGCACATTAGGCAAAAAACCTTTTATTGAATTGTATGCCAGTGAATTGGGTGGACACAGCGGGTGGGAAAGAACCCATGGTGCCATCGCCAACCAATATTACTCGTGTGGAGGTCTGTTGAACACCTGTGATATAGAACACCTCTGATGTCATCACCCTGAGCACAGGCTCCCCTCAGGGCTGCGTCCTGAGCCCCCTGCTGTTCACTCTGATCACACACAACGCTTCCAGATGACACTACTGTGGTGGGCCTCATTAGAGACTGCAAAAACTGCATCTAAAGAGAAGAGGTGGAGCAGCTGATGGGCTGGTGTAGAGACAACAGCTTGGTCCTGAATGCGGGGAAGACGAAGGAGATCATTGTCCATTTTAGGAAAAAATGGCCAAACCAGGCTCCACTGCTCATCAACAGCTCAGCTGTAGAAGTGGTCAGCAAAAAATAAATTCCTGGGGGAGCACATCACTGGACTGGACTGTGAACATCACCTCACTGATCAAAAAGTCACAGAAGCGCATGTACTTCCTGCAGAGGCTGAAGAGAG